GGGGGTGGGGTGGGGTGGCGAAGAAGGGGGCAGCAGTTTTGAAGTGGGAACCCTGCATGTACACTGTGTACTCTCAAAGCTGCAAATCAACTATTTTCCTCAGACATTTCACACCAGTGGTCCCCTTCTATTACATTCAACCTAATTAATCTTTGTTTCGATTAATGCTTTTTTGGGGTGAAGGGATAGTTAGGAACTGCCAAAAAAAAAAAGGAATGTATCCCAGTTAACAAAAACAACAGAACAGAAACAGAAACCTTACCTCATTTAAAAAAACAAAAACAAAAACAACTATTTCAAATTAAGTAAGCAATCGATTGATCCCTAAGCCATTCTCTTATATTAAGTGTTCTATCTCATTTGCTACAGTGGAAAAAATGTTGCATTATAGAGTTTTGATGTTCAGATGATCTTTTTTTTTCTCTAAGGCAAAATTTTTGAACTATGTGTTAACATCAACTTATAGTCATGAATTTTGGCATAATAAAAAACAGAGTATGCTGAGAAGCCAAATTTTTTATCATTATTTTTAACTAAGTAGTTACATTTGTGTTACTCTAAATACTGTAACTACAATAGAACTTTAAGCTCTGAGAGATTGAGAATTACAACTAAAATAATCTGAAAATGAATATCCAACATTAAAATACATTTTTTTGGATTTGTCCCAAAATTAAGGATGCAAAGCTAATTTGTTCCAGTAAACCTCTTCTATCCCACTTTATTCTGTCCCTCTGTTACCAATCTCAAAATGAAGTTCAATTAAAATTAATTTCTGAGTAACCTTTGGATGCCCTTCCATAAATTAAACCATTGACAGCTTCTGATTTTCCAAGTATAGCTCAATTTTTTAAAACCTTTGAGAAATGGACTTAATGGCACCCAACCACAGAGTTATATATGTAACAATATATGCATGCTTGTAAATATTAGTTAGCGTGACTTTTAATAACATATACAATTTAAGAATATAGTACGCCAATATCTATATGCAGATGAGGGGAAGAGTTCTAGAAAACTAAATGTAGATAAACATACTGGGAGGATCTATTATTCCCTCAGGTGTCTGAGCAATTTAGCTAACATGCTTGAGCAATGCTCTTTATTTTATTTATTTATTAGTTATCAAGGAGGTTACCTTTTCAGTTCCTTCCTCTTTGAGACTAATAATGTCCAGGTCAAAATCCTTCCTCAAGCCATCAGATTTATTGAAGGTTATACGCCCAGTCAAGCCATCCCACCGAGCCTGTGGACAAAAGGAACGTTGTGTCACTGCTGTTTAACACTTATGATAATCAAAGCCAGCAAAATTGCATACCTCAGATTCATGCCAGTATCCAGTGATTTGGTTCCAACATGCTGTTATAAACCATTGCCCTGGTTCACTTGACAGCAGACCACTCCACCATTTTATTAGCACTCATTTATTTTGTGAGTTCTAACATCTTAACACCAGTCAAATGTGACATGGTAGCAACCTAAATGGTCAGTATGAAAAGAATGACTTTAAAATAGTCTGCACGTGGAGTTAACAAAGTCTGGGAAGTCAGAACAAGGTCAATCCAAATCCTATTCAAGGTCCTGCTGAGAGCAAGTGTCCCATCCCCTCTTTTCTTTCTCTGTATTATCAAAATTTTTAGGGCATTTATAATTTAGGCCTTCTAATGTCATTTGAGCACTGTAATTTCCTATGGTTGCTGTAGCAAATAATCACACACTTGGTGGCTTGAAAAAACAGGAATTTGTTCTGTCACAGTTCTGGAGGCCAGAAATCCCAAATCAGTGCCACTGCCTGAAATCAGTGTCAGCAGGGCCATGCTCTCTCTGGAGGCCATGGGAGACACTCAGTCTTTGCCTCTTCCTGCTTCTGGTGGCTGCCACCACTGCTCCTGGTCTTATGGTTACATCATTCCAATCTCTGCCTCTGTGGTCACGTTGTCTCCTCTTTGTCTGGATGTATGAGATCTCCCTCTGCTTCTTTCTCTCTTATAAGGATAGTTGTGATTGCATTGAGGGCCATCTGGATAATCCAGAATCATTTCCCCTTCTCAAATATCTTTAATTTTTTTTGCTGTATAAAGTAACATTTACAGGTTCCAGAGATTAGGACATGAACATCTTTTGAAGGAGCCACTATTCCATCTACCACATGCATCACCATCATTTTAGAAAATAAAATAAATAATTTTATTAATATTTTATAATAATTTATAAAATAAAATAATTTATAATATAAAATATAATAATTTAGAAAACAAAAACCACAGTAGTCTGCCCTTCACAGAACTCACACTGGACATCTTTCATCTTTATTTATTCATTAAACAAAAAATAGTGGCCCTTGGGGCTCTTGAGCTCCAATTGCAAGGTAATTTGGCCATCTTGTTTATTTGAGTTTCCCTTACAAACAGGAACTTAGACCTTTGTACACACTTAGCTGTTTTTCTCTCTCCTGACTACCATCAATTGCAAGGTAATTTGGCCATCTTGTTTATTTGAGTTTCACTTACAAACAGGAACTTAGACCTTTGTACACACTTAGCTGTTTTTCTCTCTCCTGACTACCAATTTCATCAGACACATATGAAACACAAAGAGGCTGAAGATTTACTGCCCTCCTTATGAGCATTTGCAGTTGATTGTACCGTGTGCCTCTGTTGAGTATATTTATCCATTTGGCCAAGAGACAGAGCAATGCAGTGGAAAGAATGTAAATTTTCCACACAGCTGGGTTTGAATCTCTGCTGTGTGACTTCAGGCAAGTTACATAACCTGAACCTGTGTTCAATCCATGTTGAGTTTTTGTGAAGATTAAATGGCACTAACATAATTCTTAACATATTGAAAGCATTTTAAATTTTAATGATTATTATTTTTACAACTATCTCTTACTGTCCTTCCCCCACTTTCATAACTCTGGAGTTTGGATTTTATTACTTTACATGCCAGGACTCATGTATCTACTCTTTACTGGTCTCTATTGTATTTCATTTTATAAATGACTAGAAGATTCATTGTCGCAAAACACAATCTTCATATTCATGCAATTTCTCCCAGCACATAAGGTAAATAATGGATTAATGCCACCTACAATTTAATCTAGACCTTGACTTTACTTTGGAGGTTGTGATGATTAATTTTAAGGATCAACTTGCCTGGGCCATGGGATACCCGGATATCTAGTTTAACATGACTTCTGGCTGTATCTGTGAGGTTGTTTCCAGAAGAGATTAGCATTTGAATTGGTGGATTGAGTAAAGCAGATTGCCCTTCCCAATGTGGAAGGGAATCATCCAATCCATTTAGGGACTGAACAGAATAATGAGGCAGAGGAAGGGAGAATTCACTCTCTGCCTGACTCTTGGAGCTGAGACATCAGTCTTTTCCTGCTCTAGAACTGAGATACACATCATCAGCGCTCCTGGTCTTCAGGCCTTCAGACTTGGATTGGAATTACATCACCAGATTTCTTGGGCCTTGAGTTTGTAGATGGCAGATTATGGGACTTTTCAGCCTCTAATTGTGTAAGCCAATTTTTCATAATAAATCTCTTCTTGTATGTATCCTATTGGTCAGTTTCTCTGGAGAACTCTGAATAATACACAGGTATTTCAAAATTTTGCCTGATCTACCTCTTCAGAATTCTGTACCCCTGCTTGGCTGTACATAGCCTCAACTGGAACAGGCCTGGGCTCTCCAGTGTTCATCACATCCTGCATCCTCCACTCAGCCTGCCCGATTCCTGTCCATCATTCAAGACTGTGTTGTTGTGCTGATTTGGTCCAGAGTCACAATTCTTCCCTTTAAACCACAGCACTCCTGGCCTATACAACTTTGACCAGTATTGCTTTGTGATTTCACTTGTAGTTTTGTACTTACTACTACTTCTCCTTACACTTTTCAGTTTGAAATTCCTTATATCCTCAGATGGATTGGAAGCTTAACTGCAAAATCCAATTCTCTTACTCAATTGTATTCTCTCTAGTATCTAACAAAATGACATAGCCCTTAGGCACTTAAAAAAATTTTTTTTTATTCTCATTTGTTCCAAAACAAAATTTTATTGATCTGCATATTTTACTTTTCTGTCTTCCTTCCATTATTTCTCTCTCTCTTTCTTTAACCTACAATTCCTCAACAAATAACCCCAACTAAATGTGGTGAAAACACCCTTGATTGGGAGTCAAGAAACCAAGTTTAGTCTTTAAGCCACTATCAAGTTGTGTGACCTTGGTTGAGTTATTTTGTCTTTCTTTATACCACAGAGGAGGAGTATCATGTTAAATGAGAGTTTCGAGTAAAATGAACTTTAGCTCCAGAATTCTAAAGATGTAAGGGACATACCATAGAGGAGTTTAATGTAATTAACCATCATTCACTAAGCACTTATGGTCGGCACCTGGGCTATATAAAGCATAAACCACAGTTGCTATCCTCAGGTTTTAATATTTAATATCAGATGTAAGGGACATACCATAGAGGAGTTTAATGTAATTAACCATCATTCACTAAGCACTTATGGTTGGCACCTGGGCTATATAAAGCATAAACCACAGTTGCTATCCTCAGGTTTTAATATTTAATATATTGCCTTCTGCTAGGGAGAAAAGACTACTACAGAGTTTGGTTCATTTATTTCTTTTGCTATTAATTCATTTGGAAAATATTCATTTTTTGAGCATCTTCTCTGTGCCAAAATACAACACCTAGGTGTTTATGGTTTAGTAGAAGTAGGCACATAAATGTTAATGGATTTCAATAAAGGACCATACATGTGAGAATAAAGATTTGCAGAGAGTATTAAAGAATGAAATACGAAGCAGCAGCACTTATCCCAATTGCAGGAGGAAAAAAAAGTCAGCAAAATGTTCCTGGAGGCCAGAATGCCTGTGCTCTCAAAGGATGAAAAGTTGACCAAGCAAAAATTCACAGCCTGGGCAAACATATAAAAAAAAGAACAAATTGTATTTGCCATGAGTCTATAAGGCAAGGCAAGAGATGAGGAGAAATGTGCCTGGGAAGGCAGGTAGGCACCTGGGAAAGCACCTGTTCATAAAGGTGTAATGAATCATGCTGGTTTGCTTGGACATTGATTGCTCTGTAGACATTTGAGAATCATTGGAGTATTTTAAGCATGGGAGTGTCATGGTCAGATGCACATTATAGGGATATCATTCTAGCAGAACTGCAAGGATCACTTGGAGAAGGTCAAGATTATAATCAGAAGGTTGGTTAGCAGGCAGTTCTCATAGAGAAAAATTTATGAAATTATATTCATATGCCCACATGTGAACATAGGGACAGCAAATTCTTAATTTCCCTGTCACACCAACTTGCACACCATTAAATATGAATGGAAATTGTTCCACAGCAGGATGGTCATAGTTTCATAAAGAGCATGTTAAGAAATCAACTGAAATGTCAGGAACCAAGACAATTAGCCAAAACATATTTTCTGGCTACTATTTACAAGGAATGGATATCATGACAGAAGTACGTTTTATTGCTTGATAATGCTGGAAGTTAAATCAAATTAATGTCAGAACATGAGACATAAACAGGAAAATGCTCCAACTTTCTCACCTGAGCACTCTACATGACAAACTATTTTATTGCTTGATAATGCTGGAAGTTAAATCAAATTAATGTCAGGACATGAGACATAAACAGGAAAATGCTCCAACTTTCTCACCTGAGCACTCTACATGACAAACTAGATGTCAGTTGCTCAAGTGCTGTAGCACATAAAAAGAAATGCTTCTTCAGATCCTAGGACTTAGTCTCCAGAGTTTATTATCAAGGGAAGCCAAACACTAGCTTTAAAAATGAGATGGCATATTTTTACAGACAATAGTAACACCTGTTATTACACTGGCTGAGATACAGGTAATCACGTCTCGCTGAAGGCCAAAGTCATCAACCAGAAATGCAAGTAGGGAGTGTTGTCTGGTGTATATTTAGGCATATCTTCTGGCATCACAATCTCCTTTTCCTCCCCATCACATTCCAATACTACTTTTTGTACTCTGGTCACCCATCTCATTGTGTAAGCCAAAGGCTGGCTTTGTGGGATGATGGGTTACATCAGAGCCACAAAATAAGCTACTGTGTTAGGGTTATAGCCTCTGCCCGAGAGCTGAGAACAATTTGTCTAAGGCTTTGATTCAGTGGAAACCTCTACTGTGTTAGGAGTTTGGATTAAGTCAGTTTTCAGGCCCCTTCTTCGTGCTTCTAAACAATGTGCAGGTCTAACCCTCCTCCTGAGCTATTTGGAAGGAGTAGTTATTTTCATTAAGTTCTACAGGATTTTCAGAAAGCTTTTTCCTAAAGGTAACTCTTCCTTCATTGAGGTCATGTTGTGAGTCAGTTTGGTACATTGTCCAGAGTTTATGGGGCTTTCAGAAAATGTGCAGAATTGGTAGCATTTATCTCTTAATGTAGCATATAGCTTATAGCAGAGTCTTAAAATCCAGTTTAGAAATCCAATTTCATTTCCACTAAGTGTGTCTATTGTGTTCCTTTGTTTGGATTCTGCTGCGTTGGTTTTATTCTTGAACTTAGTGTTCCAATCACTGGTGCCGAGTAATTCTCACTTCTTCTCGCTTTCCTCCCAGCTCATCCAAGTTTCAAAATGTTCCCTTTTCATGCTCTAACAATGTTTCCTTTCCTGCATCAAATATCTACAGACTCCCTGCCTAGTTCTTTACTGAATTGAAGTATCTTTTGACTTCAAAGTCAAGTTTCCCCTACTGCCACCATTACCCATGTCTACCTGTATCCCATCCCTAGATGAGCTGTGTTTTTGTATATGTTCTTTATTTTTTATTGCAAATTAATTGTTATAAGCATTTATTTATCTCCAACTGCACTACTGATTAGTGTGAACATATAATGATGAACGTAATAACTTCGTATAGCATACATTATACGAAGTTATACGACTTGAGGTTGGATTTGTTTTGCAAATCAGAAGCTGCAGATTCTAGGAAACTCATATGGTGTTTATGTTCTGTCTCCAGTGGGGACTGGGGCAACACACTGTATACAGACACACAAATGAACAGTGAAACGTATGATCCTAACTCTAGGCTGTTATAACAGTCAACTTTTAACGTCAATTAGTTAAAATGATGGCTTTTATTCATTTTTTCCTAAAGGGAATTTATATATGTAAAAGAATGTAAATCCTCCTTTCTGAGAATTTTCCCTGACACAGCCATTCTTGTTTACTATAGGGAATAAATTGTTTCCTATTGAAAAAACAGAGACTTTTTGTTTGAAAGCAGGAAAGAATGTGCTTTTCTAGTAGACATGCTGTTTTAAGAACAATAGTTTCGAACATTTCTTCTTTTATATATTAGAAACTATTTTTTCTTATAAGACCTTTATGAATAGAAAGCTCATGACAACCCCACAAATTACCTGCCCTTGTTAGATCAAGGCAAGGAAAAGAAATTGTTTTTAAATAACTATTATATGTGTTAATAAAACTTATCAACATTTGAAAATAAAGCAAAAAATAAAAATAAACTGCATGGCCTTTCTCTGTCATGGTGGCCATTGTACAACAGGCTCACCTGAGGATGATCTAGTTCTCTAGAGAAATGCATCTTCATTTTTCAATTTACTGTTGATTCAGGTCTAGATTCTGTGAAATCCCATGTTAATTTGTAGGTTTTGCATCTGGCAGAGATGTAAATAATTTCTGTTTAATAGAAAAGATAACCCCAAAAGTTATAATTTTATTGTCCTATGGGACATTCACCAGTTTTCCCTTTCCTAGTGGCCTCTGGAACCAGTGTTCCTCCAGATCTCCTTGGAATGAATGCACTTTAACATCCTGCTGTTTCCCTCAAAGTTAAATACATCTTTGACACTTGCTTTGTTTATATTTGCATTATTGTCATATTTATAACTGTTTTTAAATTGTATTTTGTTTTAGAGATTGTCTTACCAACATGCATCTGGAGCAAGTCCCAGGCAGTAATAGAATTTACCTTTTCTGACTCTCTCTCTTTCTGTTGTTTTTCCCTTCCCTTTCCTTCTCCCTTCCCTCTCCCCCTTTCTTTTTGATCCTGTGTTTTGAATCAAATATGTTCTTTTTTTTTTTTTTGCAAATTAATTGTTGATAAACATTTGTCTTTCCTAACTCATTGCTTAGTCATTTCTCTTCCACAACATGGGCAAAGACCAATGGATCTGTATCTGGTCTCAGATCACTGGGCCGCCTCTACTGTCTGATCAAGAGAGATCTTTGTGTGTCTGAAGATCCTGGTTTGGGCCACAGCCAGGTATACAATCTAGTGGGTATTTAACTGCTAGGCCAGTCTCAAGAACACAGTCAGGAGGGCGTTCTGTGTACATGTGAATCTGACTTGCACATGGCCAGTATGTATTCTCCACTGAGACAGCAACGACTGAGAATCTGGCATTTTGTTTTCACCAGGTGGTAATCTATCAGGTCAATGAAAGTAATCCAGTTCTTTGTAGGGATGACTAAAATTATGAGAGATGACTGAAAATCTGGTTTGTTAGCCTTTTTCTTTTGTCTGAGCAAGATTGTGTCTCAGGTTCACTGTTAAATAAAACCACCCTTTCTGTCCCCATGAGTTTTTTGTTCCATGTTTACTTTTGAGCCATGGCTAAGGTTGTGGAACTAAAGCTTCAACCCTCAGTGACCACCTCTGGAAATTTAAGAAAAAAAGTCTTTTCACCTCAT